CGGGATCGGGGGGGGGGGGATGGGATTGCGCGTACGATGTCGCGGGCAGAAGCTAGTTATACATATAAGCTGACGAGTTTGTTTGTGTGTTTGTTGGTTTGAACGCGCTAATCTCAGGGAATACTAGTCCGATATGAAAAAATATTTTTGTGTTTGATAGCCTATTTATCGAGGAAGGTTATAGGCTACAAAACATCATGCTACTATCAATAGGCGCCGAGCAGAGTGGCTGAAACCGCGCGGAACGTACTTACCGTGCCAACAATAAAAGGTAAAGCGCTAGCAAGTAGAGTGACTCGCCTCCCGAACTTGTCTGACACTCTGCTGGCAGCCAAACTGCCCGTCACCATCCCTGGCGATATCATCGCGACCACCCACGAGATCTCGCTCTGCAAACGTAAATTCAATATTTTTAAGAACCAATACTGCAATAACTGTTGTGTTATACTTCCTAGAAAAATAATTTATGAACTAATACATTACATTAATTCAGCAGATTATGTTTGAACGATTTTTCAAACGAAATGGTTATATCTATTTCTAGACAACAAGACAAGCCCAAGTACGATTGTTGCTCCAATTAGGTACTATTTACGAAGCGTTTACTGGGTCTTAATGTTTTATATTTCCTTAATAATTACCAAGGAAATTATGTTCCGATTTTCCCATTGTAGCAATGGAAACCATGTATAAATAATTAATTTAAGCTACGCCTAAGCCGACGTGAAGCTACGCGTTCGTTGTATTTCGTCATGTGAGTGAGGTTATCGGAGGCCCAATTACACCCCCCCCCCTTCCCCAATCTCCCCAATCCCTGAATCCTCAACAATCCTCAAACTCCTAATCCCCAAAAGGCCGGTAACGCACTTGTAACGCCTTTGGTGTTCCAGGTGTCCATGAGCGACGCCGATTGCTTACCATCAAGAGATCAGTCTACATGCCTGAAAAAAAAATCACGTGTTTATATAATTTATAAATTTTATACTTACTTTGGATATTCTAATACTGGTCTCATTGTTGTGAAACTTGGGTAGGATGGGGGCAGTCCAGAAGTAGGCAGTACTCGTCGTCATCGTAGCTATTGACACTGGAAAATGTAAGTGTAAGTATTATTGCATTTTAAACTTTAATGCCATAGATACCATGAAATTTAAAATCTTGAACTCCTGTACCTAATACTTTGCGCAAATACTGTATCCTAGACCTTTAGCCATGAAATTATTTTCTTAATTTTCAGGCGCAGATTGCGAATGGAGTTACTGCATAATGACATAACATCACGCCTTTTGTCTCCGAAGAGATTGCAGCACATTACGGCACTTAATGCCACTGTACAATGTAACACCCACTTTTCACTATTCACATTATGAGTCCCTTATAATAGGGGGTGAGCCTATTGCGATATACCGGCCATATTTCCAGACTCCGGGCTACTACTGAAATTTTCTTTTAGAAAACCTGCCTTTACTTTATCCAACCTTGGAATTGGACCCGAGACCCCTTGCCGGCAGTCGCGACCAATCGGCCAATGAGGCAGTCATTGAGTTATTGCACTACGTAACTTATCTATTACAACAGACGTTTACTCCTTCGTGTAAAGGTCAAGTAGTTTTTATCATAGTCTTATCTTGTGCGTTTCTTAATGTTATCACAGAAATACACAAGATTTCCTACTTGTGGGTCATAGGAAATACCTTTTTGTAGTGTTTTAGCACTGATTAAGGTGTTTAGTGCTTTTTTTATGGCATAAGCCGGTAAACGAGCAGACGGATCACCTGATGGAAAGCAATCGGCGTCGCCCATGGACACCTGGAACACCAGAGGCGTTACAAGTGCGTTACCGGTCTTTTGGGGATTAGAGGTTGGGTATTCAGGAATTGGGGACATTGGGGAAGTTAAGGGTAGGTAATTGGGCCTCCGGTAACCTCACTCCCACGACGAAACACAACGCAAACGTTGCTTCACGTCGGTTTTCTGTGAGGCCGTGGTATCACTCCGGTCGAGCCGGCCCATTCATGCCGAAGCATGGCTCTCCCACACTTAAAGTGATTCGGTAACTTTTATGTATATTGTTTACAGATATCAACCTAGTACATTAATTGTTGTGTTGTAGCAGCGCCATGCCGAGCACGAATTATTTAATAAATTTTAAGATACGTTGACTTTTTACATTCAAAATTTGTAGTTCTCCTTCGATACATGTCCGTGCTCTTGTCATTTTTTGGTCTTCCCATGATTTGAGCTATGGCTTTCGTGCCGTAGTCCGATTTTTCGGAAGCATTTTAGTAGATAAGAGAAAGTATTTATTTAAACTATCAAACACCAAGCGGTCACCGGTGACCGCAACCTATTGTTCTATAATTGTGTCTATAATGACGGTGCTCGACGAGTTAATGTAAATAAGACATTAAAATATAAGACTTGAAGTTTCTATAATAATAAAAAAAAAAATATTCTACACTATAAAGCCGTTATCTAAACAGTTAAGATTGTAAAAAATGTGTTACTTACTTAGCAAATATTTACCTATCGTATGACATGTTACCTAAACTGTGAGCAAATAAAAGTGCAAGCACTTAAATGTAGGTACTAACTATGTAGATATCTATTAGCGTTATACTATTTCACAACTATATTACAACTGGATCACTGGGTATTCTTTTGCTTCGAAGTAATTTCATTATTATAAGAAGGACTCAACTTCATAACATCGAACAAAATTATTTAATGCATTCACAATTTTAATTCTCTATGTGTATTTTAATTGATATCTCATCAATCTCCAAAACCTGAATCCCAACAATCCTCAAATTCCTAATCCCCAATCCCCCGGTAATGCACTTATAACGCTTCTGGTGTTCTAGGTGTCCATGGAAGACCCCGATTGCTTACCGTCAGGTGATCCATCTGCTCGTTTACAGGTTTATCGCATAAAAAAAATATTATTACAAGAATTTAATATATTCTCATACGTGCATTTTACCATGAATACCTTAACTTATATTTTTATTTACCTACTTCCAAAATGATCAGAGGCCTTAGTATGACTTTCATTTACGTTTATAGTATTCGAAACAAGTACGCGTTCGGCACTCTGATTGGCCGGCGTCAATGAACCAACCAATCAGAGCGCCGAACTCGTACTCGTTACGATTACTTTAAACGTAAAACAAACTCGTACTAAGGCCTCTGGGCAATGAATAATGACAAAACACTTTTATTATCCCGTTTCAGAAAGTTATTTATTTTAAAGTTGTAACTATACGTATTAACTCGTCGAGTACCGGTTTTGTAGACACAATTATAGAACAATAGGTTACGGTCACCGGTGACCGCTTGGTGTTTGACAGTTTAAATAGAAATGTAATTAAAAGATTATTATTAGGTAAGCTTATAAATTATTCTATTACAATTTTCTAAGAATCAGGTTTATAAGTAAAACTAGTTTGGAGATATGAAATGTTTTATTTAACTAAGAACTATTATTAAGTCAGTCGACTAACTCGTTCAGCTACACTTTAAAGTTTATTTTCATAAATATAGAAGAACAGAGTATTTACTTAAAAATAAATATGTAAAATTTTTTTTGTTTTTTTTTTTTTTGTAAATCTGAATAAAAGGCTTTATTATTATTATAAATATGTAAAACTTAATATACACTAAAACAACAGAGAACATTAAATAAAGGAAACTAAAAACGACTATTTACAGAGAGATTTAATTATCTTCTGAGCTCTATTACAACAATAATGATAAACTTACCGGCGAACGCCGCCAAATACTGCATCCTGTGACTTTGTGGCATTTTATAAACTTAAATTATTTCACACACCTTTAATCCAGAATCACTATTTCACTATCACAACTACATTAATAAATCATCCATATATATGTATTATGTTCTTCATTATTAACACATCGCATCAAAATATGACGAACAGTTACACATAAATTCTTTAAACTCGTTTAGAACAAAACACACATCGCTTCACAAACACAGCACTATTTTACACAGATAAAAAAAAATATTTTAATCTGTTTTCTATTTTAGAATATAAAATAAAGTAGTCGATTTGATAACGATAATGACACGTCTGTTACATAGAGATGATTTCTATTTATACTGTATCACATGTTGTACCACCTTATCTTCGACGTACAGTCAGCAACACTATGTGGTACATTTGTACTGTTGAACATTTCTATTTATTCATTATTGTTTTGACGACTGTCGCGCTGCCATTCACCGCCTACTCACCGAAAATTAGCAGTGTGTGTAGGGGTTCTGTTGGCTAGGATATTTTCAGCAGCTAAAACCTAAATTATTGGAGAGGCCTATGTTCAGCAGTGGACGAATACGGGCTGATGATGATAATGATGATGAAACCTAAATTGACTAGACTGTTTGTATTATTGTCATAAAGTATTTATACGTCTTGCTCGACGGGCAGGAGAAGGAATGGAGTGGTATTTAGTCAGTAAGAGTCTGACACTCCCTCCCGCCTCACCCAGGCGGGAGCAGTCATTCGATGATTTTCCCTCTTAAAAAAGGCGGAGATAATTAATGTTACAATGTTGCGAGGATAAAATAAACTTATCGGTTACTCTATCGCAACGAAGTGTAATTCAACTTTAACGTTTCACTGCTTTGAAATAATTTAATTCATTCAAAACAGATTTTTATTAATTCTTCTTATTTAGTCATAAATCCGGTTTAGTTGAGCTGCCTATACCTCTATTATGTTTTGGTCACAATAAAAGTCAAGGACATTCTTTTGCCGAAAATAGCATTAACTTTAATTATGCATTCATTTTTGAATATTTTATCCTAAATAAAATTACTTAACCTACAATTTTTTCAATTTTCGATGATACACTTAGCTGAGACATAGTTTAGAAGTTTTGATGCCTTACTGTACTACATACACAAATGGCGATCAAGCAGTAGGTACTAGGTATACGCCATACCCAGAATCATCCTATTATGTTTTTTTTATTTTTAAACACATACAATTTCACATACAGATGACACTCAGACTCGAAACAACAAGTTATTAGACAAAGAGTTGCTCCGAGCGGGAATCGAACCCGCTACTTGTTGCACGGCGGTCAGTTGCCGAGCCACTGCAGTGACCGTGCAGTCAAACATCAACTTAACACAGCCTTTAGCATCTTTTTTTATGGCATAAGCCGGTAAACGAACAGACGGATCACCTGATGGTAAGCAATCGGCGTCGTTTGCATTACAAGTGCGTTACCGGCCTTTTGGGAATTAGGAGTTTGAGGATCGTTGGGGATTCAGGGATTGGGGAGATTGGAGAAGGGGAGGAGGATAATTAGGCCTCCGGTAACCTCACTGACACGACGAAACACAACGCAAGCCTTGCTTCACGTCGGTATTCTATGAGGTCGTGGTATCACTCCGGTCGAGCCGGCTCATTCGTGCCGAAGCATGGCTCTCCCACACTTGAATTATAAATTAGTTTCCTTAATAAATAATATTAACGGTATATACCTAATAGAGTAGATGATTATTTAGTTATGTAAATGTTATATCGCTGCGCCCAAAGGGTCATGTACTGTATTAATACTTTGTAATACCTCTATGTATGTGTACATTGTACAAGAAATAAATAAATCCTTACTAAGGATCAGTTTAAGTGATCATTATTTGGATACTTTCCTTAATCAAAAATAAATTATATCGACTGTTCAATACAATAAAATATAATTACTATTTGACGCTAAAAACGCGTGTCGTTACAATCCACAATCTCGTACAAAATTCATAGAAAACTGTCGTTTTTGACAGTTCGAAAAAAGTAATGAATTTGACTAGTTGTTAAATACCGTATTGTCTCTGAGTACGGTAGCAAATAAAATACTATGTAGTAGCAATAACGGTATCTTAGCAATGAGGACTATATAAATAATTGACTAACGGATAAACAAAAGCAGTTTCGCTATATGATCCACGTGTTTATCAAGGTCAATCACCCATGATTTGGAGAGCAAGATTTTTTGTATGTAGGTATCTAGGTACGGCGACGAGCATTAATTGATTTTGAACTTTACTGTCGTAACTAATATATAAATTATGCAGTCGTAAATCCAATTAACAATATTTAAAGATTTACAGTAAGTAGGTTATCCTGCTGGCCCCTGTTTCGTTTCTTTTGATATAGAGGTCTATAGTGTACATATATTATACGGAGCGAATACTTATATTAATAAATAACATTAATTTTTAACAAGTGCAAATTTTTTCCAGGCCCTGTGATCGTCTATTGTGCAGTAATAGTATCCAGATTCTGTAATTAGGTACCTATATTAACGACGGAAAAATTTACAAGAAAACACAAAATTCGGATGAATACTTTTATATTTTAATTCATTAAAAACAGATTCAAACACTAAGAAAAATTCATTATAAAGGCAGTGTCTTTGAAAAACATACAAAAAGAACATATTTTACACAACACGATGTTGTTTTCAATATAGTATATTAATTAGTCACTTGACTAAAAGTTTTACAAAAAAGTCGTCAGTAAAAATCATAAAATTATAAAGAAACATCGAATACTTCACATAAAAAAATATTTAAGTACAATTAAAAAATACACAATTAAAAATTAAATGCGTTGGTAAAAAAGTCGAACAATATAACTAATAACCACAAAAATAAAAACTGACAGAAATAGAAATAAAACTGGCAATGGCTTGTTAACAATATTTTAAATATCCGTATTTATTTAAATTTCAATATACAGTCAACACAAAAATCTTATACAGGTACGAAAATAAAAATTATTTCAATGTCATCGTCCAGAGATTGGCTACCTGTTCCAGTAACTGTTTAGTTTTCACACTAATTATAACAATAATTACAATCTCTGTACTAAACCAATGTTTATATTCTTACATACATACATACATACCAAATTCAAAACTAAAATATTGAATTTTAAAACTGTATCTAGTGAACTTTCATAGGAAGCATACTCTCAAGACAAATAGTACGATAATTGTGCCATCTACCGTTCGCTACGAAAACAAACAGACTTCACACCTAGCGGTTTTAGTTCGTAACTCTTCCGTATCAAAAGTTACTGTGCGTCGTTAATGTCGTTTAGTGAGCGGCTGATTTGTCAGCCTTTTTAGTTATTATAATAGAGCGTTGATACCAATTTTGAATGCAGTTATCAACGTATTTTGTGTTCCTCATTGTAATGTCAACTTAAATGTATAAAAAGCGTAAAGAGTTATAAAATAAAATGATATAAAAATAGATAGTAGGTAAGTAAAAAACATCGAGACAAAATAGGACTTATACTAACATCAGTAGGTACTAAAGACTAACTAAAAAATGAAACTAAAAGTATGAGAACTCCAATAATACTAAACAACTTATAATCTAACGATCTAACTCTACTTATACCTATGTTATAGTTATACGATGGCCTCTGGGCTCGCTGCCATCGCAGCGGTAAGTCCCCTCTTTGAGGAGTGGCTTGAGAGACGCTACGGCGTCCTCACCTACCGCCTGACGCAGGTCCTCACCGGACATGGAAGTTTCGGGAGGTACCTGTGTCTGATGGGGCGGGAGGAAACGCCCGGGTGTCATCACTGCGAGG